TGTAAGGGCTGGCGTAATGGTATTTGAGCTTCTGATGAGGTCACGCAGGAGGCGTTCCCATAGTGAGACACGAAACGAATGCTATGAAAGAGAACCTTTAATTAGACGTAGCAGCAAAGGTTGGTCGGTAATGATCTGGGCGAGATTTAAAGCCACACCTCTGCAGTAGCCTCACCTGCACAGCCAGGTGAGCTATAGCCTTCAACCGGGTAAATTGTGTGAGACTTCCAGGATCTTTGCTCGAGCGACTGAGTTCAAACTCTAAAGATGAACAAACACTCCTGTCAGGGAAGCCGGCTGTGCTTAATTCACTGTACAAGTAAAAGCTGAGAGCTTCATACGAGTGAATGCAAAAGAGTGATCATGTTCATAAGAACGTTACAGTACTGAGTGAAATACTGAGTCCGTATGTGTCCCTGTGGCGTAATGTTGCAGGACAATCGGAGCCCCGCAGCCTCGCTGCAGGTGATCTCGGCTAACGTTTGGAAGTTGCCAAATATTGCGTCAGTGTTGTTTCGTAGCACCCTGAGATTTAAGGACAGGAGACGCGTTTTTTTTCCAGAAATTGCAAAAAAATGAGGGCGTTCTTGCAACCCACAGCTTACCTGGTATTCATCAGGCTTCGTGTTTTCTTCAGTGGAAAAGGCTGATCACAGCTGTCCACTGCTGCTCTCTCACGTGCATATTTAACAGGAAGCTTCTGCTCAGACACTGGTTACATTATTGTTGTATGTTAAGTTATTGTCAGGTTACTTTTCAAATGTATTCCACTACAGATTACAGATTACATGCCCCAAAATGTATTTTGTAACGTATTCTGTTACGTTACTCAATGAGAGTAACGTATTCTGAATACTTTGGATTACTTAATATATTATCATGCTTTTTACAACTACATGAATGTCCTATTGCTGTGTGATTTATTACTATTACTGAAGGTTACTCTCCACACCAACACCAGCTAGATGTTTAAATCTTAATATAAATGAGTAACAGTAGGTGGACATTAGGTAAGGCTGCACTTTTTGCAGCGATCTCGTGTAGAAAACTATTCAGCGCGTATATAAAACAGGTCAGCGGCTCCGAACCGTAGTAAAGGGACCTCTGGCTGATACGTCGGGCTTGTAGCTGAAAACTAGCTTTACTTTGTTGTCTGGGTCGACTTTGCTAGCGAGAGACAGAGAGAGGCGTTGAAAGGGAACTTATTGTTTGGGAGGAAAACACGAACACAGTGTACAGTCGAGTCTTAACAGCTTACTTACAGCTGGGCTGTAACACTCTGCCTGTTGCCTTCATATTAAATCATTTTTTGAACAATAATTAAAAAAATATTCCTTCACGTCATTATGAGCCGTGAGATTGAGCCTCGCGTGTTTGGGTTTCCACCGGCGTGGAATTATGAAGAAATAGAGAGGGGACAGCCTAACGTATGAAACGGGAAAAGACGCCGAGCAATCCCTTTATTTCAACAAAGTAACTGTATTGTGAATACAGCCTTTTAAAACAGTAACTGTAACAGAATACAGTTACTCGTGTTTTGTATTTTGAATAACGCTGGTACATGTACTCCATTACTCCCCAACGCTGCTTATTGTTGGTTACATTTGCTGATTTCTGTTTTTGCATGTTTGCTGTTTTTAGATCACAAAATCATTTTTATTATTAGACAAAGAGAAGTGAAGCAAATACAAAATGCTGTTTTTAAATGTTGACTTCATCTGTTATTAAGGGAAAGCTGCCAACTGTTATATTTTTAATTAACTGGTTGCTATAAGTCCTGTTGTCACCTTAATAGAACCTCTGGAAAATCTTCCAGCCTAAAAAGCAACAATCTAAAGAAACTGATGAGAAACAAGGTCACTGACACCTTTCATTGAGGAAAGGATGACAAAGTAAGTTGTAAGGCTTTGGGACTCCAGTGACAGTAATTATCCACAAATGGGAAAACTTGGAACAGCGGTGAACCTTCCAGGATCAGCCAGGCTGAGACTCATCCAGGAGGTCACCAACACACCAGAACAACAAAGAACTGCAGTTCAGAGTTCACGATTCAACAATGAGGGAGAGATTGAGGAAAAATGGCATCTGTGTTTAAAGAAATCCCTTCTGGCATTTTAGTTTTTAATGAGATGACGCAAACCAAAGAGAGCACAAAGGCTCGTCTCACATTTAGCCAAAAACATACTGATGATGGCTTCTGGGAAAATGGACTGACGAGACAAAAGTTGAACTTTCTGGAAGGTTTGTATGGGCTCAAAATGTGGTCATAAATATTTTGTACTCGTAAATCAGGATTTGTATGTGTAAAAAAGATTTGTGTGTGGACTTAGAAAAAAAACCCTGCAAGTTACAAGTACGAATTTTGACCCTATTTTTCTTCCTTTAAGCTGATTGGTCAATGTCATGTCAATCACAAATGTAACAATCCAATCAGAGAACAGATGGGTTTGGCTGTCGGAGGGGTGCTTTTTTGAACTGCAGGTCCTTGAAGGGTGATACAGTTTGAAGCTGGAGGATCTCTATATAAATATCCGATAGCAGCTAGGTCCGCTAACATTCAGCAGCTGTTGAAAGGATAAAGTTGTGCTATATCAGTGGTTAGAAACACCATCATTACTTTAGGATTAGTTTAACACAAAGTCAGGGCTGACCCGGGACCATGGCTGTGAGTCACAGTGCGCAGCATAAAAGTCCTTTCACATCGGATGCAGGATGTGCTGCTAATGCTAACTGCTGACTAAAAGCAAAGGATCCAGAATTTGTTACGCTGGCTGCTGGGCTCTGTGGGTTTTTGCAGCAGCTCTACCTGTACTAGATGCACCTGCTCCTTGTCTTTTCTATCTCTGACTTTATGTCCTCTACAAGAGTTTGTTTTTTTTGCTAGTTCTTCAAATGTTCAATAAAAACATGTATGCTAACTCATAACGAAGAAAGCTTTGTGATGAAGACTGTCATTTCCAAAACACTGCCCGCCCCCACCCCGTGGTCCGCAGCGCTGTTGAAAAGGCTGTGGAAGTCCCTGTATTAAACACGTAGACCTGTGACACAAAAATCACCAAACTCTGACGACCACAGACTGTTTTCCTTCGCGGTGATGAAGGAAAACGCTGGGTTAGCATGTAAAAGGGCATTTATTCCCTTCAAGGACCTGCAGTTCAAAAAAAGCGCCCCTCGACAGCCAGACCCATCTGTTCTCTGATTGGATTGTTACATTTGTGATTGACATGACATTGACCAATCAGATGAAAGGAAGAAAAATAGGGTCAAAATTCGTACTTGTAACTTGCAGGGGGTTTTTTGGCTAAGTCCACACACAAATCTTTTTTACACACGCACAAAATCTTTTTACACATACAAAACTGATTTACAAGTACAAAATATTTATGACCACATTTTGAGCCCATAGGTTTGGGTTGCGTTACATGTGGTGTATAACAGACACAGCATTTTCTAATAAAGAACATGACAGCAACAGTCAGACAGGGTGGTGGGAGTGTGATGGGCAGGGGCCGCTTTTCAAAAACAATAAGAAAGGTATGAAAACAATCCCTTTATGCTAAAACACTCATTGTCCTCACTTCTACTCACTTCAAATCATATTTACTGTCTTTTTTTTATACTATTTATTAATTTTTCTGAAACTGTAGGTGTCTGCAGTGGCACAAATCACATTTTATCTGTTGCTGTTTAGTTATTTGTTACCACAACCAAGAAAAAGAAAGAAAGGATGTCTTCAGAGGGAAGGACTTCCCCGTGTTGTTAAAGTGGCATTAACTAGTAATGTTCTTATAACGGTACAATAACTGTAGCTGAACTATTTCAGCTAACTCTGTTGGGAGATAGATGATAAAATTGGGTAAAACCTGAGAAATGGGGATAGGCCGGCTCTGACTTCTATCCTCAGGCTTTGTGGTCTCAGCTGAAAAGCGAGCCCTCCCCTCTTCAGAGGGATGTTGATGTTCATTCACAGCCTTTGCGATCTGTTTGTCTGAATTGGAGGATAAGGCACCGTATTGATGTTGGGATTTACAGAATTAACAGCGTATGATCTGGTGACGGTCTGCTATGCTTTCTCCACTCTCAGGCGTGGGAGAATCACCTGCGTAGGAACCGCTCCATCGTGGTCGACCTGTTCCACGGACAGCTCAAGTCTCAGGTGAAGTGTAAGACCTGCGGCCACATCAGCGCTCGCTTTGATCCCTTCAACTTCTTGTCTCTGCCTCTGCCCATGGACAGCTCCATGCATCTGGAGATCACCGGTGAGCAGGCCGATGAACAGCAATCAACTGTGCTTAGAGTTAATGTTGCAGAACTGATCAGTGTTAATGGTTAAAGCTGGAGGCAGACAGGCTAGCACTGGGCTGGACTCCCTTTTTGCTTCAGAATAAAATTCTTAGTGTCTCAGATTTTGGTCCTTGTTGACATGATGGAATAACACCGTTGCTGCAGATTTGTTCTCCCACCACATCCACAAGGCTGCTCCACGAAACTGACATTAGGTCGTTCTGTAGGTCATTTTAGTGCATTGAACTCAATGACAGGTTTGAGAAACCAGTTTGCGATGATTTAAGCTTGTATCCTGCTGGAAATGGCTAGTTCGTCTTGTAATCGGAAGGTTGCCGGTTGGAACCCCCGGCTCCGACAGTCTCGGTCATTGTGTCCTTGGGCAAGACACTTCACCCGTTGCCTACTGGTGGTGGTCAGAGGGCCCGGTGGCGCCAGTGTCCAGCAGCCTTGCCGGAAGTGTGACGGCACACAAAGATCTTTCATGTTTCCAGCCTGGATGTAAGACCTGACCATGTTTCCCTCGTTCTGTCAGCAGCCTGTTTGAAGCCCTGCAGCAGTAATGTGTCCTTCCTATAGGAGGTCCACCTTTCGCTGTTTCATTCTCTCACACTCTGCTGGATTTGTATTTTTTTTTTAAGTGAATCTATAAAAATGTGCTGTGTGGTCATTAAAACCTATTTCTTTATTAAAGAACAAATTCTGAACGGTGCTATGCTGCGATGTGTGTGTCTGTAGTTATCAAGCTGGACGGCTCCACGCCCGTGCGCTACGGCCTGAGGTTGAATATGGACGAGAAGTACACCGGGCTGAAGAAACAGCTGAGTGAACTGTGCAGCCTGAAGCCCGAGCAGATCCTCCTGGCTGAGGTCCATTCTTCTAATATCAAGGTATTCGCACCACGCTGACGCTAAACACTTCATCTCTCATCTGTGCGCCATGCAGCAGAAGACGGCATTAAAATGAAGGATTCGTTGAATCGTTTTGTCTCGAACCTTTGCAGTCACTGCTTGTTTGTCTTCGCTCAGCTAGGTTGCGATTTATACTTAAAAACTACAAATGTGTGTGAGTGATGCTCGTATCTCGTAACACTGCTGGCCTCATCCTCTCCTCAGTGAGACATGATCACGTTATGTTAATGTTCCTCACAGTTTGGTTCAGATGTGCTGACAGCAGCGATCAGGAAAGCCACGGTACGTGCATAATCGAAGCGTGTGGGTCGGAGCCACATTTTGGCCGCGTTGTCTCATTGGTGTGTGGAAATGTTGCTGTGGTGGTGGGGGTGGTGGTCGCTCTCCTGGACGACATAAAGGGCCCGTCTGTGGCAGGCGGTGTGGTTGGTTCTTGGTGGGGGCGTAATGCTGTGTTCAATCCATGACCGTACACACTCACACTTAGACCCTGGTGAAAGTCATACATGTTACTAACTCTAACCTTGTAGTGTTTTTAACACGAGTTTCTTTGTGTTAAAAACACTCATTTGTCTGTCAGTCCACATGGTTACGTTTCCTCTGTGAGGTGTATTTTGTGTCCATAATAAGAATCTTGATATTTTAGGCGATCGTATGCGGCGCAGTGAGAGCGCTCCAGAATTAACAGCTGAAACGTCGAACACGATCAAAGATAAAAAGTGCCAGAGGATGTGAGTGCTGCTGCAGCACGTCTTCCAGTTGTTATACGGCTGCATGGAAACACGCAGCTGCTGCTGCAGATAGTGGTGCAACGGATCACGGTTGATCCGAAATCCGAACCGATCCCACTCCACGGTTCGGTACGCACGTGATCTGAAGACTCGGGGGAAAAAAAAGTATGTGTATGGTGCGCGTGGTCAGTCTGTCAAGCGATAGTTATGGCCAGCGCCAGCGGTCCAAGTAGCGGAGCAGAGGAGTTTGCGGCATTTAAGCAGCCCTTTGCTGCCCAGAGTGGTAGATACAAAGCCCTGCACTGCCCTATAGATTACATTAGATTAGATGAAACCTTATTTATCCCTCGGGTGGGTTCCTCCGGGACATTCAGTTTCCAGTAGCACAGCACCCACAGAAGTTGCAGAATGTGAGCAGAAATATACCATATATACACATTTATAAATACAGAGAATACAAAAGGGATAAATAGAATAAATAGGAATAAGAATACAAGGGAACGGCACATTTTAAGTATTGTGAGTCTGTTACACCGTTGGATATAAACAACAACTATTGCACAGTGAAAAGGCACTACAGCTACTTGTTCCCCCCTCCTCTGTCCCCGTTTCCCCTCCAGCGAGGAGTTAAACAGTTTGCTGGCGTGTGGGACTTTTTAAGTCTGCTGGTCCTTGACGTTGGGAGAAGCAACCTGTCACTGAACAGACTCCTCTGGTTGTTTATGGCCGTGTGCAGAGGATGCAGAGGCTGCCCAGCATGGTCCATAATGTCCATATTGCACCTTAATTTGTTTTTATATAAGTGCCTGGAATGAGTCTTCAGTTGAATGTTTTTTAATAGGCAAAAAATGCTTAAATAAGTAAACGGCGAGTAGAATTTTTGTCTTTTTTTCTATTTTTGCTGATCCGAAAATTGATCCGATCCGTGACTTTAAAACCGTGAGAGTTTTGATCCGTTGCACCACTAGCTGCAGACGCCATTTAGCACCATCTACGTGAACGAGAGTTAAAGTCCTACCAAGGTTTTAGATGTGTGGCACAAACCGGCGTGTAATGAACTCGTAGTTCTGCTGAAATGTTTGCATGTAGGCGTCTTTATTGCTGCAGTCTTATGTGCTGACCTTTGGTTTTCAGAACTTCCCTCAGGATAACCAGAAGGTCCGTCTGTCTGTCAACGGCTTCTTGTGTGCGTTCGAGGTCCCGGTGCCGGGTTCACCAACATCACTGAGCTCGCCCACGCTGACAGGTGTGTCATCTTACACATGTCTGCGCACTCACCAGAGAGCTACCTGCGAGTTTCTCATTTTCTCCCCTCCTCCATCAGATATCACACCTATAGCCAACAACACAGCTGCCAATGGGCACGTGGGCAGTAAGCTAGACCTCATCCCTAACGGTGGGCCCTGCAGCCCTGAGACGCCTCTGACCAACGGGGTCGCCAATGGACACATCACACCGGTGCACGAGAGCCCCTTCATTGGATACATCATCGCTATGCACAGGAAGATGGTGAGAACTCGTAGAAAAAACAAATGCAGTGTCATTTTTATGGTTGTTGTAGACGTAACACGTAGATGTTTGTGCCCCCCGCTTTAGATGCGCACAGAGTTGTACTTCCTGTCGTCTCAGAAGAACCGACCCAGTCTGTTCGGCATGCCGCTCATTGTTCCCTGCACTGTGCACACCAGTAAGAAGGACCTGTACGACGCAGTCTGGATCCAGGTGTCCAGACTGGCCAGTCCCCTGCCCCCACAGGAGGCCAGCAACCACGCCCAGGACTGGTAATTTCCTCCTACGAATCTCTTTATTAGAGAAACACTCGTGTGATTCTGTTGAGTAACATTCATCTGAAGAAGCATTTACCCTCCCGAGTGTGAACCTGAGCGAACTTCCAGACTCTCCTCTGTTAAAAAGAGGCAGCAGGTCTGTCCGGACGAAGTCTCTTACGCAATCAGGATCAGGTCGGATCAGCATCAGCTGTCTAAAGCTTGATCCGTGCCACTTCCCTTGTTTAGTGTAATTTAATTTTGGAAGGAAAAAATAACTTTGCTGACAAGTTTGTTGACATTTTTGTCTTCCTTTAACTTGCAGTGATGACAGCATGGGCTATCAGTACCCCTTTACTCTGAGGGTCGTGGGCAAGGATGGAAACTCGTGTGCCTGGTGTCCGTGGTACAGGTAAGAGCGTTTTGGATACAGACACTCGCGACTAAGGCCGTTTTCACACACGCTCTGCAGCTCTGAGGTGCACGCAAAAGCTCAGCTGTGTGACGCAGCCGAACTCTCTAATCCTCCAGCCCCCAGCGTGCAAATGCTGCAGCTAATATCTAAGATAGACGCCATGCACGCCGTCTCCTGCTGAATTACAATACTGGAAATACAGAGTTTTGTTGTTTTTGTGTGCTTAAAGTGAGAGTGCAGCTGTGGCAAAATAAACCGAACCTCATTGTCCTTAAGTTCTGTGAAATTCAGGCTTACATACAACTTAAAGTGGGAGTAGCACATTTTGATGCAAGATTATGACATTTGATTTGTTGTAACAGTTTTCTGTATGTGGTGAACAAACATTGTTTCATGAAGAGAAAAGCAAAACTCACACATCTGTGTGTTTGCAGGTTCTGCAGAGGCTGTACGATAGAGTGCACAGAAGACCGAGCTTCTGTAGGAAATGCTTACATAGCTGTAGACTGGGATCCAACTGCCCTGCACCTCCGCTACCAGACCTCCCAGGAGAGGGTAAAGGATACATGCACGCGCACACACACACACACACACACACACACACACACACCAATCACAGGACACACACGCATCACACAAAGGATACATGCACGCGCACACACACACACACACTACACACACACACACACACACACAATTCAGGCAGAGAAAAAGTCACTTCGAGTTAGAGCAGTAATGGAATTTCTGTGAAAATGTTGCTCGCTGTCATTAACGTCATCATTTGTAAACACCAGCTTTCCTCGGGGCAGGAGGAGTGATGAGCAGCAACACTGCTTTCATATTTCACACTGTCATATTAGCAATTCTACATCAGGGTCCATGTAATGATCGCTGTGCAAACCAGAATATGGTGTGATTCAGAGTTTGGCCACACGGAGGCGTCAGTGAGTCAGTAAATGTCAGATTAAAGTGTCCAGAATCCTTCGAGGTGTGTTGGTAAGTGCTGTGGTTTATGTGAATTCTAGGAAAAATGAGTTTCTGAGCAGTAAAACTTGTTAGATGCATTAAAGTTGCACTTTGCTTGGCTCTAAAATGACACCTGGTAGCTGTTTCCCCGAGTGTCTGCTCTCGTGGTCCATTATCCTCCGTCATGCATCGCGCTCCTCTTCCTGCAGATTGTGGAGGAGCACTGCAGTGTGGAGCAGTCTCGGCGAGCTCAGGCTGAGCCCATCAGCTTGGACAGCTGTCTGAAGGCTTTCACCAGCGAGGAGGAGCTGGGAGAGGACGAGCTCTACTACTGCTCCAAGTGCAAGACCCACCGACTGGCCACCAAGAAGCTGGACCTCTGGAGGCTGCCACCCATACTGGTCAGGAGCAGACTCGTGCATCTGAGTGTTTTATGTGAAACGATGCGTGGGTGTTGGTAGCATTTAACGTTCTCACGTGAAATAAATTTAGAGACGGCGTCTGACACGTGTTCACTTGTGTAGATTGTCCACTTGAAGCGCTTCCAGTTCGTGAATGGTCGCTGGATCAAGTCCCAAAAGATCGTCAAGTTTCCACGGGAGAATTTTGACCCCAGCGCCTTCCTGGCTCCCAGGGACCTCGAGCATCGCTGCCTCCACTCCCGCAGTGAGAGCGAGGATCTGCTGAGGGTCGGAGAAGACAATCTGTCCTCCATCTCTGCACCCGCTGGCTTTGGTAACCTCCCCAAAGGTACGGCATGTCCAGTAAAGACTTTCATCACTGTTTGTGTTTTTTAAAGAATGTGAAAATTGAAGTGCTAATGCTTTAACACTGCTGCTTCCCCAACAGCTTCCCCAGCTTCAAGCAGGAAGTCTGCTCCCTCTCTCAGCCGGAACAGTAGCCCGTCTGGCAGCCCGAAGGCCGGGAGCGGAGGCCGCAGACCAGGTCGGTTGCGCCTTCCCCAGTTGGGCAGCAGACATCGCCTCTCCAACAGCAAGGAGAACCTGGACGGAGCAGCTAATTCTGAGGCTGAATTGAGAGACGATGCACCGCAGGCGGACCCAGAGGGTTCAGCAGCAGGAGGAGCGCCAGGGCTTCAGGGGTCAGGAGAGGGCGTTGCATCAGAATCGTCCTCCGGTAGTGAAGCATCCAGCAGCCACTGTGACGTGGTCCTTGTGAACGGAGACAGCAACGGGCTGTGCTCCGACTGCAGCACAGAGAGCAGCACGGAGCCGGACGGCTCTCTGCTGCAGCACAGAGACAACATGTGTCTGGATGCCATATACAACCTCTATGCAATATCAGTAAGTCAGGCGCTTTGGGATGCTGGCATACGGGCGGGGGGCACAGTCAGACAAGTCCTGAATGTTGTTCTGCTTCATCTCTCCAGTGCCATTCAGGAATATTGGGAGGAGGCCACTATGTGACATATGCCAAAAACCCCAATGGGAAATGGTACTGTTACAATGACAGCAGCTGCAAGGTAAGGCACCAGCACACCTCCATTACTGTCTGCAGGTACTAGGTAACTAGTTACAGCCTCCTACACATCCAGTACGACCTCCACAGACTCAGCTTGGAGGAGCACTGTGCAGGGAAACAGATGGTCCTGTTAAAGCTGTTCTGGTTTATGTGGGTTGTTTTTATTGGTTAAAGTGTCTCACACACACACACACACACACACCTTTACCAAACTTGTGATTGCTTTATCATGACTTTAACACATGCTGCTCTGCACACGCTGGGCACTCTTGTGTGATGTAAGGAAAGGTTTGGCTCTGTCGACACCCCAAATGCGACCACGCTGTAACAACACTCCGCTTTATTTGTTTTTTCATTTACAGGAAGTGCACTCTGAGGAGATCGACACCGACTCGGCCTACATTCTCTTCTACGAGCAGCAGGGAGTCAACTACTCCCAGTTCCTGCCAAAGATCGATGGCAAGAAGATGGCCGACACCAGTAGCATGGACGAAGACTTTGAGTCAGACTACAAGAAATACTGCGTCCTCCAGTGACCGCAGCTCGTCTTCCATCAGCCAGCACTACGCCCGCTCGCCTCTTTCAGCCTGCTGCTCTGAACAGGAAGCGCCAGAAGATCTCACGAACGGCTGACAGTTGAACCGCGCGCCGTCTTTATGGCTGCTTCGCAGCACTTTCTAAACTCGACTGCAAACACGGATCGGTGAAAAGGTTTGCTAAGACAACAGCGAAGCCCCTCCCTGTGAAAGCACCCGACCGGTGCACTTTGCTGAGCCCGACGAACTCCCATCAGCTCCCACCCCGTGATCCTCGCCATGACGTAGATGTAAAATATACTTGCACACTAACGCATCTCTGAATGTATGGCAGTACGGCCGAGTCATGCAGCGATGTTGCTTTCTTATCGTGCACTTATCACTTGTGATGTCAGGATTCAAAACAAAAGACGGCTTTTTCTACCCAGAGTCACGATTTGACCTGAGCAGGGAAAAACCGATGTGCTCCAGGTGTGAGTCCCTGCAGGCCTACGGATGCCAACTGTACACGGGGCCCAGCGTTCACTGTGTGCTGGAGTGACGTTTGGTGCCACGGGAGACGACGGATGCCCGGGCAAGCTTTCAAACCAATGGTTCTGCTGAGGTTTTATTAGCGATAGTGTGAGCAGGAAAACACGCGTCATACGCTACCTCATCGCTTCCTGCATTCTTTCAGCCAACTGGACCCCAAAAGTCTGTGACAGTATTAATATCATGAAATGCTTCCTTTTAGTGTAGGAGACTCGGTACATGCATTCAGGAACATCCCCACAAAGACCCCCCTCCCCTCCCAGGACACTCGGGTCCTGATGTTCACATCAAATTCGGCACGTTTGCCAAAAGCTGTGTTTGGTCCTGCAGCTGCCAAATATCCACGGTGATTTGTGCAATGTTGACCAGTATGTAGCCACGACGACTGAGAACCTGGGTTTGTTGGGGACAGGTGCCATGATTTAAAAAGTTGTACGGTATATGTTTAAACGCTTTTTTTGATTATGTAAATGTGTCATTTTAGAGGATCTGCTTTATTTTTTTTAGTTTTTCTTAGAGTTGCTTCAGGCTACCTAAAGGCCCCACCTGTAGACATCAGGCACATCTCCATGGGGCTGATGCAAACCTCTGCAGTTCTCTGCTGTCCACCCAAACCTGGACTTCCTGCGTCCATCGCAGCCAATTATTTTACTGTTTGTTATTTTAAAAGTGTCAAAACGGAAGAACCAGAGATTTTTTTTATTTGCTCAAAGCCTGTAAACCACATTACCCATAATGCTATTCAGAATCCAGCTTTAGCCTTTATCACTGTGTCTCATGTGGCTTCTGTGCTTACACTTAACTTTGCTCACATTCGAATGAGTCCCACAGATCGCTGTGAGTGTTTCTCACCTTCACCGGGTGTCACCTTGGCTGCTTCACACAGAGGCAGGGAAGCCTTTGTTAACCATGAGTGTTACATGTGTTGCACTGTTGGGTTTTTTGTTTTTCACGCAACTAGAGCAGCTTTGCATGATTCACAGTTCGGGTACTTTTGGTTGCACCGTGCAAACGTGGAGTTGGAAAAGCACCTGGGTTTTAACTTCTGTCCCTGAAGCGATCATAGTTCATATATCTACTCTCAGCGAATTCATACAGACCTGATAAACCTTCCTGGACTGTGAGGTCAGAAGTCATGCTGTTTAATATGAGCAGTGACTTTTGCACCAGTGTGTGCACGATAGGAAATAAGGAAGAGCTCCTTCAGTGTCGAGTGCGGACGTGCACTCATAGATCGGCCAGATATCTAACAAATATCTCCGATAAATTCCCACTCGTGTGATTTCTCTCCCCTGTCAGAGTTCACACACTGTGTCAGACAGTTTGTAGTGTACTGACACGAGTATTTCATTTGAGTGAGAGGCGAATGCAATGACCAATGGAGCGGCTGCAGAGGGTTGGTCAGTCGCTTCCCTCCGACTCCACATCATTACATTTTTAAAGCTTCCATCTTGTATTTTTGAGTTGTTTTAACGTGTAATAGGAACAGAGCTCCCTTTTAACAGCAGGCTCAGCCTCGGGTTCAATGCCGCTTAGCACACCTAAAACCTGAAGCATGAGTATCGCTGCAGTGGTCCCACCTCCTGCTGCTTAGGGGATCATAGATGCTCCTGGAACACTTTTTATTAAAAAATGAATCTATGGATAACCACTTGTTGGCTAGCTCACTGGCTACAGCCTCCATAGGCTGGTATATTAGTCACTTGTGCACTTGGCCACATCTGCCCTGCCTCGTGTATGAGCAGCCTGCTTGTGAATGACACCACCAATGCAAGCGTTCACCTTTCTGAGCTTTCTGGGTATCGAGCCTGGAGAGCCGTGTGAGGTGCCCCGTCCTGTACAGTCTGATCGCTGCAGCAGGGGTGCTGAAACCACGTATTTGTGAATGGGTACCATCAAAGCACAACACAAACTGTAAGGTCTTACTCCAGCTTCTGTAGTTCTAGCAGATCTTAATGCCCAGTCTCAATAGACGGACTTTCACAATCTCATTTTAATAGCTTAGTGTTTCATATCTTAAACCAGTTTCCCCCTTTTCCTCAGCTGAGCCATCCAGTGGGCCAGCCACACCCTGATGGGTGTCCAACAAAAGCGAGTGACATGTCAGTGTAGACAGTGGCAACAGTGTCCATTTTTAATGATTTCATTTCTTAGCTGCTGGCATAACGTTTGATGACTGGGATGATGGTTTCTGGTGGAAATGAATAAATATTGAAACTTTTTCAGGAAGTTCTATGAAAGTTTTAAGAAAAATCAAATAAGTGTCTTAGAACATTTTCACCTTTTGCCGGGATGTTTTCAGGGAAATGATTTGGAAACAACCATCCCCCCGTAGACAGATGTGCTCACGTGTGGAAAGTAACCAAAGTCTGTTTGTGTGAGGAGCGTAAATGCATCGCTACACGACTGGAGCCAACGTTCGAGCAAATGATTTGTTTCTGTGGGTCAGAGTGCTGCCGTTCCTCCTTTCCTCTGAAGGTTTGGCTGCTTCGACGTGGCTGCTGAGGTCTCTTTGAGATGGACGAGCCCATGTTTTCACCGCGTGGTTCCAGCTGCAGAGTTCTGTGTGTCTGCTTTGTAGCAGCAATGGCGGAGCTCCTGTCACGTCAGGGGGCTCCGTCTAATCACTGTGAACAGACGGCAGACTGTCGATGGCGCCCGGCTTCGTCTTCTGGAGCGCAGAGCCTCGTCTCTGCGTTCGTCCCCTTTTTTAGCTGCTGTATTTGTGATGAGACGACTTTGTTATGGATGTACTTGGAGATAAATCTGTCACTGAATGAAACTTTATTTCCTTCTGCAAAGATCACATTTGTTGAGCAAATGGAAATGTACATAAGAGTGTTATTTATGTTTGCTTGGCCAGCTCTTTTTCTTTTCCCCTCCACCCTCCTGCCGTCACACTGAGCTGTAGACAGTGTCCAGTTTGTGTCTGTGGTTGAAGGTTATCACAGGACTCGAAGGAAAAATTGTCCCTTGAGAGCTCAGTTTGCAATGTTTGCTCTACTTAAAGGTGCAATAGATGTCAACTTCTTTCTTTTTCTCTTTGTTTCTTGGGCTGTGAATGTGCCCTCAAACGGCCGGTAGCTTAATCTCTTAGCAGAAATGTTTCATGTCGGGGTTACTTTCAGCACAATTTTTCTAATCCAGGAACGAGGATTTGACGCCCAGGGAAACTGGACTATCTCTGAAACTGGGCAAGCACGGATTCTGTAGAACATCGGGCTAGCATCTGAAGCCCCGCCCCCCAGGAAGATTAGTTCACGGTGTGTCAGGCAGTGCGATCGACTACTGAGCTGTCTTTCAGTGTGTGTAGCTTCTTTTTTTATTTAAGTTCATATCTGTCTGATGTGAACCAGATGTGTTAATTTAATAAACTTTTTTGTAAGGTGTTCGTTGGAAGAAAGTCACATTGCACTGACATGAAAACGTGTACATAAACAAAACGTGTTTTGTAAATAAGCCAATGAAAACTATGTATTTGAATATGAACTGTACAAAATACTGTACCTGTAGTTGTGTATATGGAGTGATCCTGTTGATCTGTAACGAAATACCCAAGCAACAAATTAAATTCAGCAAAGGAAATGACATCAGAGTCGTGTTGTTGTGGTCACAACCCTGATCTGACACTTCAGGCAATTTGCGTAGACTTGTGAAGTAGAACAGCCTCGTTGATCATCTCAATTTAATGCCACAAGCAGGAGCAAAGCATCACGCAGACAGAAACGATCCAACTCGATGGTGTCTCATTATGTTTGGCCATAAGTTGACTGAACTCCAACACTGTTCATTTTTTTCTCTGAGATATATTTTTAAGCTCCTTTGTGTCAGAGGCTGTGTGCGGCAGGCAGGAATGGACCCGAAGCGCCGACTGCAGGAGGTCAAACTTAGAAACTTAGATTTATTAGAAAAACAGGAAACTAACTTAACCTCCTAAGACCCGAACTCTCTCACAGCATGCATTTTTAATTTCTCTTTGCTATTTAGGCTGACTGGGATCTGATGAATGTAAAAACTAAGAATTACCAGGTTTTTGTTTGTTTTTGTTTTTTACCTGATGTTTGTTGCTGAGAAAAATGAGATCCACACATGAGGACATTCGTTTTAAATTTCGATAGAACAGTGGCAGGATAACGTCCTCATAAGTGGATATCAGGCCCTTGTAGAGCAAAACTTAGTATTTTGGTCTAGCCAACCCAAAATGTGACGTCCACATGTGTGGATGCCAGGTCCTCGGAGGTTCAACTGGAAAAATGAACAAGGATTAAACAGGTAGAACACACAGCATGAGAGGCATCGTGAAACAGACCAAGGAAAACACCGGGCTTAAATACAGAGAAGGATGACGAGGGAATGAGACACAGGATGAGAGCACAGCTGGAAACATTAACAGACGCAGACTGTCAGTAAAACAGGAAACAACACAGCAGTGTGAACCTGACATGAAAAGGCATATAAGCAAAACCTAAGACTGGAGATCAGGAGATACTAACTAAAAAAGAGAAACACTAAGTCACAGAATATAGACAAACAAAATCAAAACCACTGGGTCACCAGACCCAGGTACCCCAACACTTTCAGCTATTCCTTGATCCCCAATTGATTAAAGCAGCCAACGGCCTAAAAGTTCCACGTTTACCTCACAAGTTTCGAGTTAACATAATCAGACTGTAGTAATAAACTAACTTGGCTCCTTCATATTGCCTTCCCAACCCAGCAGAGGGACTTTTGTCGAGGTTGAGCTACTTTATTTTATCCATATTTGGAATACAGTCAATGTCTTCGCTGTAGGGGAAGTAAGGCTGCAACCACAGCTTCATGGGCTCTGCCACAGAGCTTCCTCCTGGTTAGACGTGCCTGAAACACACTTGCGTATAAGTCATCCAGTAGGTTGAGGTGGTCTGCATATCTGACTAGATTCAACCTTCTGATGTAGACCAGATTCTTCTGGGCTCATTTATACCACTTGTTCCTCTGGACCCTTCTCATACCGCACTGCTGCAGGAGAGCGAGGTCCTTCCTTGGAGGGTGCTGGACTCCATGCATGGTAAGGAGCTTCCTTGTTTCAATGTCAGTGGCTTTTAGCTCTTATTTTGTTGGTTGCATCTTTCCTGGTGGCCTCTTCATGGTTCCAAATTGCCTCTGTGTCCCCCCAAAGGTACTTGTAGGTGTCTGCAATGTTGCCCTCTCTTTGTTACCATGTGACCACACTTGTCCAGTCCAAAGGCATTCCCATGTTGTTGTTGTGGATCAGTGAGTTGGTGTCTTGTTCACTCCTGGCATAAGGCTTGATGTCGTCCATCTAGAGGTGGTTAACGACTGCTCCATCCATGGGGTTCAGGGCTATGCAGAACAGCTTTTGGGACAGAGCATGTGTTAGATCCTAGACTTGGTGGCAACTTGTGGTATTGACTTTTAGTTGGCCTCTGTTGGTCTCTGTTCCCCCATCGGATTCCTGAAGAAGGTTCTCAGCATCACACTGATCTTGTACAGTTCTAGGCGGTCTAGAAGTCTAGCGAGACTGCTCGAACAGTGGTTGGCCAAGGAATTGGCAGAAACACCAGAGGGGCAAACCTCTGGTGTTTCTGCCAATTCCTTGGTTATGTATTGAGCCATACACCTATCCATCTTGCTGCTATAATGCCTAAGAGGGGCTTCCATGTAGTGCTGAGACAGGCTATTGGCCGGTAGTTGGACATGACTGATGTCCTCTGGGGATCAGGACTATCCAGCCTTCAGTTAGCCATTCTGGGTGTATCTCATACATCAGCAGCTCGTTAATTTGTGCTGATGGAGTGTAGTTGGCTTCTGTAGCTTTAGCTTCTGTGAGTCATTCTGCCACTGTGATGGTTGTTGTGGTGTGCTCTTAGATCCTAGCCACTGAGCATTGTTGTTATGTGTTGGGTCCTTCACCGGTCTTCTCTTTCAGTGTTGCTCCATCTCCAGCCTTGGTGGTGCTGTTCTCATATTGTTTATCTCCCAGAGGTTCTATTGGACGTGGGTCCAGCAAGCATGGAGACCAGGCAGTGGTATCCTCCAGGAACTGCCTGCATAATCTGGTCACATGAGTCCGGGCACTGTCATGCACCAGGTGGAAAGCAGGACCCACTGCACCAGTACAGGGTCTCACAAGGATTTCATCCTGATCTCTAATAGCAGCAAACTGAGTAACGGCCCCTCCTGCTCTTTAAAGCAACCGACTCTGGTTGTGAAACGATCCTCACAATAACTGATGATTTAATTTAGTTTTTTACCCAAAAACAAAGAAAAAATTCATTTTTATGAGGTTTTTATCAGACTTAAATTCAAAATGGAATAAAAAATTTGTGTCAAAATGTTTGAATTAAGTTTTAATTAAAAGTGGGGAAAAATCCACTTCATATTAATTAAGTATCAATCAAACCAGATGGGGACATTTTTTACCCCTGAGGACCACAGCTGTGATTATGTGCTGCCATTTAAAATTTATAAATGCTTCAAAAGAACTTTCTCACTACAGTTCAACATACAGCACTCTGTAGTTAGACAAATAGTCAAAACAATCTTTTATTGTCTCGTTTTATTTTCGCTCAAAAACAAAGTGTACTTTATGTAAACAAGGTTTGGTGGCCCTAAAATGTTGGGTAAATTTTGTGTTAATGTGTTGGTCTTAAGTAAAACTACGGTGTAACACTGAATTGATTGACAATTTATACTTTAAAAAACACTCAAATGAAGTGGGGACATTTCTGACCCCTGAGGACCACAGCTGTGTGGAAATCGGGAGGACATTATGAGGGTTAATTGAGCAGAGCAACATCCCACAAGTTTAACTGATTATTAAAAAGTTTTCCTTTAATTATATTTTTTGGAGCAGTGTCTATACGTGCTCACCCCAGTTTACCACTTTTTACTGCAGAGGAGCTCTCTACAGCGCGTGCTGTGCGTATCTCTCAGCCTCCCACACATGCCCGGGCTCCACAGATGTCACACTACATGCACCTACAGCGAGTTTTGGCAGACGGAGGTTAGACCACAAAGCCCTGGACCTTCATTTCTTTGCATGGAAGTCTTTTAAACTTGACTTTTTATTTGGTTCAAATGAGCAAATGTAAGCATGCTAACATGTTAGAAACAGCAGTGGTTTTACATGATTGTGCTCGTCATAACGAAGAAGTGCAGCAAATTTAAAACAGTTGTTGACCTTTGTTGTCCTTCCTCGGTGTTTTGCAGTCAGCTAACAGACGAGAGAGGAAACCACACACAGGGGCTTTGCAGCAGCTTCTCCGAATTAAACAGCGCTACTCTTTCTGCCCTGCGCACCAGTCAGGGGCTTTTCCGCCTCTCGCCTAATCCTGACTGACATTTTTAGTTTTTAGTGTCAGAGCAGAGAGACTGTGACTGGTCACACGTTGGACGTGGAGAATGACTGCGTCAGTGTGTTTAAGTCGGTAACTTAACACTAGATTAACTTTTGGGTGTGATTAAATTTAAAATGTGGTTACTTTAGATGACCAGTTGATTCTGGTTCTCTTTCTGTTGGCAGCCCCAACAAGCTTATGAAAGCTGTCCTTAAACATTAAAGTGAGGTCATTTTTCAGAACAATAAACTAACCAACAGTAAATAATGTGCTTAAAACGAGCTCCATCAAATAATCAATGTAACATTGTTACATTGATTTGAGCCCCTCTACATGACATTGTTACCGTAAGTTGCACAGATAACGTCTTCGAGTCTAACTTGAGATTATGTCGTTAGTACTGTGGTATTTCTATTTTTGCTGCAGTAAATAATATTCCACTGTGGTTAATGAGAGGGTGCGGCGGTAAACCAAAGAGTTAAAAGAAAAAAACAGTTTGCATGATTAAAGTTTTTTGACGAACTTTCATACTTCTACAAACTGACCGAGCATCTGCAGCGTTACTGCGTGAGCTGGGAGAGCTGACATGAAGACAGTTTAGTGTGAAGTGGACTCACACTCATTCTAGAAATCAGCGTGAGGTGAAACAGCGCATCTCAAACCACTTGCTGCTTCACTTCATTTCCTCTGATTGTCTTGTGGTTGATGTACTGTGAGAGCTCCTGCTGAACACAACACGGGTCAGACATTTTATCCAGCACAAGGCGGATTTTTGAAACTTTAAGTGGGACCGAGCAGAATAAATAGTGTCTGGTGTCTGACTGGCAGGTTTAGGCGAGAAGAATGGACTTGATCAAAGTTGTCACAGAGCACAGGTAGGGCTTTTTCATTTAGTTACTCTCTTCCTGTGCTTTCTTTGTATTTTGGGCTTCAGTGAATCAGCTCTATAAAAAGAAACGTTCTAAACGTTCTTCCTATCACTGTTCCAGACCAGCCTGATGTTCTTTTACCAGTTTGTGCCAGAAAACAAACACTGAGCAGAGGACATGGCGAACTGTTCAGGTGAGCTTTCAGTTGTCTACTCCGTTGTATACACCCTCAGCGGTCTCCTCTCCTTCACCATCGTGGTGTTCACAGTGCTGGGAGCCGTGTGCATCAGAAAGTAAGTCCATTTTAAGTTCTTTAAAAAGGCTTTTATTAACGACGTGACCTCAGTCTCACTTGGTCTGTTTGCTACATTTTATGTTCAAATTAAGCTGACTGTCCTCACCAAAGCTGCAACAGTAACAGCAGCATTATTAAATAAAACATAACAATTTCCCTTCACGTACTTTAGCGTGAATATATTATAAGATCAGATGTTAATAAAAGCCCATTTTTGGCCACACTGGCTTCAAGGACGGGAATGAGCCGCTCAGGTTCTAACCGCTATAACGGTTTCCTTAAAGTTTGTCTTTGCTTGTTTGTGAAATGTACCTCTCGCCTGCTGTGTGAAGTTTGGTGTAGATGTTTATTTCCCTTTTTACAAAAGTGAGATGTTCTTCTTTGATCGTCTCATTTCCTGAGATCTGCAGTCTTCAGATTTCAGTGTTTATGTACTTTTAAAGTAGAACGTGAAAACACCGAAGATGAATTTAGTTTTTTTGCTCAGCCTTTGTATTATTCTTCTTCTTATTATTATTATTATAAATGCATAGCGCCATGGGTCCAAAAACAGATGTTATCCACTGTAAGAGATCGTGTTAACATAGACTCATAATACAGATGTCTACGGACCTACTTTATACAGCACCTAGTTAGATGTTTCTAATATTTTGGCGTCATATGTTATCTTTCAGTATTAGCATACAATCCCATTCAAATGTGTCGCTGTTTTGAAATGAGCCAAAAAGAACACATGGCCAGCTGTTCTCCGCTTTTCCTCGTTCTTTTATTCTGAAAACATTTTTATTTGTGCAGCATGTTACCAACTAAAATGATGGTGCATTACAAAAAATGGAAAAGTGAAAAATAATAGCAAAAAACTGACTTATTCAAAACGAATGTTGAGTCAGGGTCAGCTGAGTCTCTGCAGCCTCCATCTGAATTCATGTCTGTGTTATCCAACCACCAGTTTTAGCTCGTTTTTTAAGAATAAAGCTCCCAAGACTCGGTGATCTGTTTATAGATAATGTATTTCTAGATAAATGTGATTTGTTTTCATTAAGGTTAGGAATATTATCACTGTTGCCTCCTGGGTCTGAATGCGCTGTCTGGCTGGGAGTGTGTGGAGTCTGGATGTTCTCCCCGTGTCTGAGTGGGTTCTCTTGGCTCCTCCCACAGCACAAAGACATGCAGTTAGTGGGTTCAGGTTAACTGGTGAGTCTAAATCACCCATAGGTGTGAATGTGAGCGGTTGTCTATCTCTCTGTGTTAGCCCTGCGACAGACTGGCGACCTGTCCCAGGCGTGACCTTCCTCTCACCCTGTGGTAGCTGGGATGGGCTCCACCCCCAATGACACTGACAAGGACACGTGGAAGAGACTGGATTTCTGGATCTTTGGTTTATGTGCAGTGTCACTTACAGTTACACCGTTTAGCTCCGAGTCCCAAACTGTGTGTCGTCAGACTTGCTGCTCCTGGTTTAGTAAGGCAGCCGAGTGTTTCGCCTCCGTACCTGGGTCGGTGTTACCTGTTCTACTGTCCACGTTATTTTGCAGATACCGATCCGCTCTCAAGACAATCAGATTGCTCCGGCAGAACAAGATGCTGATGAGTGCTGTGCCTCGGGTAGAGCCTCCCCTCTTACCTGCGAGGCCGATCCCAGTTGTGGTGGAGGAGGAGGAGGAGCGGGAACTTCCTCCCAAATCTCCACTCCGACCCAGCACTTCAGCCAGGTCTCCGTCCAAGAAGCTGTGGAAAGGTCTGCAGCAACTGCAGCAGGTAGCGCTGATTCACAGATATCTTTGTGTTCCTGCTGTAGACACAGAAGATGAACCTTCAGATGATGATAGATTTAGATTTCACATGTTCTGTTTGGTGCGGTTCTACCTTGATGATGTACAAACGGGTCTATTTCAAATTCAAGGATCCTCCTTTCACCAAGTCAGACCTGAACCTTCTGCAGCTGATCAAAGCAGGAAAGGAGGGCGTCTTCTACCAGGCCAGGATGACCAGAGGGACGTGTAAAGGCCACAGCATGTTCACCTGTAAGATCAGCAAGGAAGGTAAGGACATGGCTGGAGGTTTGCCTGCAGGCGGAGCATCCCTGAAAGCAGTAATTAAGTACTTGACATGATAAGTAGGAGGAAACTGTCATCCAAGTAAATGATTGTAAGCTGTCCTATAATGATGTTCAAATATTCTGTTTTTAAGTAGAATTAGTGGGAATCTTTAAGCTCACGTTTGTTTACATTTTTCATGCAGTTTTTGCAACACGTCATCGCTCTGGTTGATCACATATTCCTGAAAAACAAATTGGTCTGAGCCATTTCATACATTTTTGACGTTGCGCTCGGTGTTAATATTACAGCCCCGACCATAACTTACTGTTAGCACTGCAAACGAAGCGAGTGTACTGTAAAAGCACTGACACGTAACCCCGTGGGATTCCAGACTTCATGAAATTGCTAAAATGCTGTGACCAGTGACGTCAAACGCAGCTCTGAGACGAGCTAGGAGAACTTTGATGGCACCAAATTCATCTTGTACAATATAAGTTTTGCCGTATAACAACAATGCATTCAATACTGTAAAAGGAAGTGGGAGGAGCTGCCCACAGAGACAAGCTCACAGAGGCTAACCACCTGAATCTGCAACTCCTCTCAGCTGTAGCTACAGTTTTAGCATCCATCGACTATTCTTTGTTGTCTTTTTCATTTACCACTTCAGCTCAGGTGCTGAACTAAGAGTCAGGACAAGAATAATAATGAGGATTATTTTTAACATGAATCATGCTGAGCTTTAGTACAAAACTGAATATGTTCCTTTTGATTTAGCCAGTTACATCTGGGCTTTGGTTTGACCTTTGTGTCTTCCTCTACCTCAGGCGTCCGCCTCAAACACGTGGACATGGAGGTTTCCATCATGAGAAAACTGATGCACCACAAGAACATCCTCCAGTTACTGGACTGGAACACCACTGCAGGTGATGAACATGTGCATACAGACTGCTGTTTCTCTGCTCAGGTAGAGCGGTTTGGAACCTTCTTAATCAGAAGGTTGTTGGTTTGAGCCCTGGCTGCTCCAGTCTGCATGCCAAAAAGCACGTAACCATGAAAAAGTGCTTGTATGAATGGGTAAATGTTTTATAGAGTGCTCAGGTAGAGTAGAAAGAACCATGTCATCTTCCTCCACACCGACAGATATGCTTAGTTTCCCCCCTTTCCTAACCTGTAACTACGAACTAACCTGTAACGTCTGTTGCATTCTTCTTGGAGGCGTGTCCCTCTGTAAGGCCCTATGTCTCTGTCTCTGACTGGGATGTTCTCTGTGCAGAGCCCTACATTCTGATCATGGAGTATGTGAGCTACGGCACTCTGAGGACCTTCCTGCAGACCAACAGAGCCCACCTGAGTACTGACCCTGAGCTGCAGAGCCTCCTCACCATTGCCTCCTACCACGTTGCTCTAGCCATGCAGCACCTGCGCTCCAAAATGGTAAGAGCATAGCAGACTGATAGGAAATATACTGGTCCCACTTTGTCCCAGTGTGACTTTTGTTTTTGACAGTTTGAACACACTTTTTATCGTTGTGTTTACATTTTGCATTAATGTTGTTGGTTCTCTGTGCAGATTATTCACTGTGACTTGGCTCTGAGGAATGTCATGGTCAACAAGTTTCCCTGGGAGGTGAAAGTGGCCGAGTTTGGTCTCGCCCGAGACTTGACGCGAATGGCGAGCCGTCGCAGCAGTCGCTGGAGAAACCCACGTGTAAGATCGCAGTACGCACACACAGCATCCTTTTCTCACAGTCCTCGGACTGCCGAACAGCTTTGCAGCACATTTTCAAATTCATTGATCTTATTTGTGGATGATCACGTCCTCCGTTCGTGTTTGATTCCCAGTGAGAATCCAAAGTGACCCAAACGTTTCCAGCTTCGCTCCCGCGCTGTAGTTTCACTCTCACTGTAACATCAGTGCATGTTTGAGCAGAGTTTGAACAAAGTCAGCCACCGTCACATCAGCTGATCTCAGCACCAGCCTCAATGAGCTCTGCTCCATTCATACGAGCTTCTACAGAAGTGCTTTCTGTCCAACGTGTGCACACATCTGTTCTCAGGAGAGAATCTTTGAGTCAGATGTTGCCTGAGGATATTTGGTGTTTATATTTAGCAGATGACCTGCTCCACATCCTGAGTTACAGCCAGTCATGCCTTTGTAAAAGCTATTGGAGCCGTCCACAGTTACTGCGCGTCTTTAGGCCGCTTCGCACCCCCTTCCTCCGCCATTGTTTCTCCTTTTATGTAATTTCTGACTTAATCACTGTCTGTAGTTGCTGGTGCCTTGCTTTGTTGCTGCTGTTCCTCTCCCCACCTCCAGCTTTCGATGTGTGCACATGGAAGAGCGGGGATGTCCCAGAGATGAGCCACACCAGCAAATCTAAATGACCGCGGATGTAAAAGGCGATCTCTCGTTAGCTAAAGTGGTCCTGACTGAAAGTGCTTCAGGACAACACTTTCAAATGTAACCTGGATATTACAAAAACAAAAAGTGTAACTGCATCTCACGTTTGGTCCGACCTGATGTGATAGGATGACCTTTGTTACTGGTTGAGCTACAAATGTAGTGAACTCTTTTTGAGCCCAGTTTGAAACAGACTTTGTTTCTGTGTTACTGCACGTGTGCAGGAGATTTAGCAACATCCTTTTCAACAGGAAACTGTGGTGCAGAAAAAGACCAGCAGTAATGGTGTCGTGCATTTCCTCTACGATCTTTTTAGATGTCTAAAATTGTCCCACTGACATGGTTTCACACAGTTGAAAATATCACCTTCAAGTTTTGGTGAAATCACTTTTTCCATCATGTGTAAATTGTGCAGCAACGTGTACCCCTGCGCTGGTACCCCCCAGAGTACTTCAAGAACAACTACTACAGCTACAAGGGAGACGTGTGGGCGTTTGGCATCGTGCTGTGGGAGATGCAGACATTTGGTGAGTGGGAGGTTTGGGCTGCTCTCTGACCACTGGAAATCATGACTTCTCCTCTACTTGTTTAGTAATATGTTCCAAACGTGCTCTTTGTTGAAGAGCGGCCTTGTGTTGTGGTGGCTCCGTGTTTTGGTTGAAAGTCATTACAACGGGCCGCTGTTCACTCCGGCCAGAATAAAATGGAGAAATTAAAAGCTTGTTTCCTCTACCGTGATACAGCCAGTGTATTAGCTGTGCTGAAATGAAATAACACAACATTAATGTAAGCACAAATATAAACATAAATTGACTCTGGAAAGTTGTGTCATTGGTTACGAGTACATCTCTGAACAGAGGTGGAAACCTGGTGCCCTGTCACCAGCATCCAAACACATGAAGAAGCTGACTGAAGCATCCTGTCGTCCTACTTTTGTCTGACTTCGCTCTTCAGTTCAGTCGTATGACATTTAAAACGTTAGCTGTCCTGTAAGTCTACAGTGCAACTGCAGTAGCTGCACCTCGAGGCAACTGTTGTGGTGATTTGACTCAATATAAATACAGCTGAATTGAATTACAGTGTGTTAATAACTCGTGGACCCTGCAGTGTTTGTACGGTTCTTTGTAGAGATTATGAGTTGGATACTTTTATCTGTCTTACTGTAAATTACTAAAAGTCTGCAGTCCACACCCGCACAGGGATTTCTATTACACAGTGATATTTGCTGCTCTGGACACATATTCAGTGACAGAATCCACTTTAAGAGAAATTGTGATATAAATACATTTTCAGGTACACTGCCGTATCCAAACCTGGAGACATCAGAGCAAGTGGTGTACCACATCTGTATGGGTCACAAAAACACAAACCCGGAAGGCTGCAGACCAGAGATGTAAGTGAGAACTGCCTTTAGGTTAAATGTATCTGGTATGTTAGTTATTGATATATGTCAGTTAAGTTAGATTTATTTCTTCATTTTGAAAACAGCTCCCCCCTGTCACAGTGGGTCCCTCAGCAGGCCGTGCCACGTTTCATGTTTCGTGATGCAACCCCACATGTGTACTCTGCTGCAGTAAAGAGTAATACTGCTGTTCTCAACAGAAGAATCATCCTCGTAATGAAATCAGCTGTTACTCAGAGTCAGGTTTCATTGAGCTTTGTTGAAACACAAACATCATCTTTCAGGTTTCTAGCAGAGTAATGCTCACGTGTCACTGTGAGAAACTTCAGAGCAAATCTGAAGCTGCTGCTTTAAAGAACACAACATGCCATCATAGCATCAATATTCAATACATAAACTGTTGGTGAAAATCAGAAAAAATCCAACTTTATTTCTACTTTAAAAACAACATGGCTGACCAAAGTACTTTCCAGTAAAAACAGAGATAAAAGTTAAGAAATCAAACATTAATCAGACAAAGAAAATTAAATAATAATTAAATAATTAAATAAAAGATACACTTGAATTAATAATTAGATAATAAATACAATTAAAGAAATAACAAAGATTAAAAGTGACCAAAAAACTGACTAAATCTGACCAGAAGCTGGTTTTTCCTAAAATGCCTCAGAGAACATGTGTGTTTTTAAAAGAGATGTAAATATGTCAAGTGTTGTGGCCAGCCTAATACAGAGGGCCAACGTATCCCATAATCTGGGGGCCACGACAGCAAACGCTCAGAGGAACGTAGGAGCCAGGAGAACAATAAACTTTTAAAGTCAATTCTAAGACGGACGGGCAGCCAGCGTGTCCCTGTCAGCAGGCGAGCAGCAATATCAACATCCAAAATTTAAGAACAATTATTGACAAATCAAAGATATCTGGTAGAACTCAGAGGAGGACACACGAGGCACAGTCGGCGAGTTATGACACGCAGTCAGCAAATGACAACGTGTCATACGCAAAGAAACAGCTGGAAAACAAACTGCAGAAGGAACAAGATCACTCGTGCAAACCAGAGGTTACGAACAGCAGGTGCATGTACACCGGGGAGGCTGATTGGCTAATTGTAACGGCCAAATAAGCAGAGAGAGTTCTAACAAAGGGGGGAGTCAGCCTCACCCAAGGAAGGTAGGAATACACCTCGATCCCGTTAGCTGGGCAGAAAGCTACAAGACCCATCAACATCTGTGTAAAACCGCTAAAAAGCTGCTGCATTTACTAAAGAGGCTCGCTGTCAGGAGCATTTTGTCGAGCCTCATGGCTCATACAGTTTTGTTTTCAGGAGGATATTTAATGAAGTTATGCTCAGAAAAACAAAATCATGTCTTTTGTGTGTTGTGCTTGTGATGGGAGTGTGTGTTTAGGAGGGGGAGGTGTCATCAGAACACGTGTGTAGATGACTCACAAAGTAAAACTGAAAGCAACTGTGTTCTGCTGGACGTAGCTTTCCGACCTTTTTCCTCCTTTAGCTTAATTTCGGTTCAACTCGTCCCCCCATCAATATCTAAACTGGATGAGTCGCATTCAGGCTCTGCCAGTCCCGCACCATTCCTTATGTACCATCCTCTTATATCTCAGGATGATAGTAACTATGATAGAGAATCATGGACTGTGTATCACTGAGTGGCCTCTGACCTCACAGACTTCACATCATGCGAGACTGCTGGCAGGAGCCGTACACCCTGAGGCCCTCGTTCACAGACATCGTCTGCATGCTGGAGAGCATCATGGAAAACGATGCGGTAAGCAGCAGCATGTTTTAAGCTCTTCTCTCTTTGTTATGATCTGTAAACATCACAGCATAGCCTTTGTGGTGCTGAGATATTCATCACACAGCATTAAAATCCTGACAAAAACGCGACTATATTAAGTGTTTCCACAGTATTGTCAGAGAAAACTCCTCAGTCTCTCTGTCTTAAATACTCACTGACGCGATAATTCTGTTGAAATGAATTCAATCAAACAGAAAGGTAACGTTTGAGTTTCACTCAGCTTTTGCTTCATCGTGTTTTGGTTATTAAATGCACCCACATGTAGTTGAATTGTGTTTATAGAGATTATTTTCTGGACTTTCTCCCAGTTTGAACCTGCAGATAGACAAACATGTGTTAGATAAACTGTGTTCTTCTTTGCAGGACTACGTGGATGTGGAGAGTCCAGAGCAGGTGGTGACAGATGAGGCCGAAATTCAGGAAAACAATCGTTTACGAGCAGCGAGTGTCAGTTTGGACACTAATTTTTAAACGGGTACTTTAAATCATGCGTGCAGATTTCAGGTGGGACGTATCGTTACACAAGCTTTTAATTCCTGCTGAATAAATGAAAGGAGCAGAAAACTTATCACAACAGTCATAATGTGCATGTTTGTTCAAAAAGGATTCTTTTAAATATATACCTGTGGTTTTCATTTTCTGTATTTTTATATTCTTATTTTTCATATATAAAATATTAGTTTATATATAAAACCAATTTTTGTGGTAAACAGAATCAAACTGTGTGATCACAGTCTGCCGACTGTACGCTGATGACTGTCACATTTCAGGACTTTGTTTTTGTGAATGTATCCTAACAGGCGCACACTTCAACTTCCTCTGACAACAGACACAAATACTGACACATTACCAGCTACACACGGGACCACTGAAGGCTGAATCATGCCAGTGTGTGCAGCGACGCAGCCTGAGTAATACTAAATGAGAAAAGTTGAGAATAATTATTTGAAAGCAATACAGAGAGCCTCACTTCATAATCATTCAGTGTGCACTGATTTGTTACCTGGAGTCTAATTGTTGTGTTTTCTTTACAAGGATGTTTCATAAACTGTTTGCAGAAAATGTGCAAAATTCAACATACGTAAGTTTTTAGATCACATTTATGTTCTCGGCTCAACGTTTGAAGAACCTCTATGAAACAAGATGATCACACGTGTAAAGTCCAACAGGAGGAGCTGTTCAGCATTCAGCAGTCTGACATGTCTGATGTACGTTATTTAATATGTCTGTATTTTAACAGCATTTCTTTATTAATTTATTCAAAGCTTTCTCAGTGTTTGCGTTCATTTGTATATTTTAGCTTTTCTGTTTTGCTGTTTTGTAAACCAATATAAAAAAATCCAGTTTTTAATGTATTTATATAGCAGGGGTCACTTAACATTGCTACATCTGAATAAACTGCAACAGCTGAATTGCAGACCTTGTCCCTGGTTTTGCTTTTAAGACTCAAACATAAAGATAAATGACAGAACAGAATTTTATTAATGGAAACGTTTGAGACTAACACAAGCAGACAAAGATTTGTAGGAAGACTTACCTGTGAAGGGGGACGGACCAAATGCTGTTCTACGTTTGACTCATCGGCTTGTTTTTGTTAATATGCAAATAAAATAAATATGATTTTTTTCCTACTACTTCAAAGGTGTAACAACAAGAGGAGCCGTTACTGGGTAGACTATCGATAGCATGTTTTCATAAGAGATTACTCACCTCTGTCTTTGTGGCAGAGGTGCAGAATCAGTCTGAAGGTGCTTCACTACCTGCTCACTAGCTGGTGCAGAGGCTCAGGATTACCCAGCAGGGTAACAGTTTAGTAAGTGACCAGTTTGCAGTCAGTTTATCCAAACTCCGATGCTACTCCCCCCAGACGACCATAACAATGCACACTTGCTGCCAGGGCCGTGCAGAGAGGTTTAAAGGGGCGGGTGCTCAAAGTTAAAAAGGGGCACATTGAAACAGGGTGAATAACCACAACACACATTCACCAAGAATCTAATATGGGCAACAAGGCAAAGCAAACGTAGCCGATGTTTTACCTGATGGGTACAATGTTGCTGTTGAGGGGTTGCTGTGGATAGTACTGGAGGGCAGGGCTGTGTTGATCTGAGACTGTAGACAGTAAAAAGTCCATAAGAGAGATGGTGGCTGATTAAACAAGTGTCATGAGATAATAACAAAATGCAAAGATTGGTGACAGCGCTTGGAACCATAAGGCAACAAAAACTGTGAGAAATAATTTAGGCTCTGCCTGTGAATCACTCTTTGCTTCTCTTCTTCCTTCCATCCCATCATTTCATATATCACTCTCCACTTGCTGTCTATCTGAGAACAAGGCACAACTTGCTATTGCAATAAACTATAATCTAATTATCCACACCTAACAACTCTTGCACTTAATCTAAAATAAAATGATGACAGAAAAATGTTATAGCACTGCCTTTAGTAGCCTCACACAGCTCCTGCTGTTTCCTCCTCATGTCCTTACCAGCCATGTCTGGACAATGTTATATCATGAGTAATAATTTAAAAAATCCATATACATAAAACACACACATGCACGCACACACAGTGACATTTTAGACCTTCTTCAGAATACTGTATATACTATGGGCATCATGGTGCTGATCCAGAATCCTTACATTATTATTTATTACTAGAGCTACAATAATAAAGCAATGAGGAGGGGGAAGTAATAAATATGAAATAATGTCATTATGATGATTCCATTTGTTTCACTATCCACTCTGTGCAGGGGCAAAGCTTATTACATTTTTAAACTGTAGAGATACAATCATTTTACTGCTGTAAAATCCAAATTTTGTCTTATTTAAAATATAAATCTAATATAATCTGCTTCTGGGGCGATCGTGGCTCAAGAGTTGGGAGTTCGCCTTGTAATCGGAAGGTTGCCGGTTCGAGCCCCGGCTGGACAGTCTCGGTCGTTGTGTCCTTGGGCAAGACACTTCACCCGTTGCCTACTGGTGGTGGTCAGAGGGCCCGGTGGCGCCAGTGTCCGGCAGCCTCGCCTCTGTCAGTGCGCCCCAGGGTGGCTGTGGCTACAATGTAGCTGCCATCACCAGTGTGTGAATGGGTGGATGACTGGATGATGTAAAGCGCTTTAGTAAAATACAAATACAGGCCATTTACCACTTAATGTATGTTCTTTAAAATACAGCGTGTGTTTTTTAATATATTATAATTATAATAATTATTATGTGGACATGCATATTAGATCGTTTTTTAGTGAAATATAATCCCTCCAGAAAGGCAGGAAAAGCCCTGAAACTTGCTTTAAAACTAAATATGTTCCCTAAAACGGTGACAGAGCTACAGACCCATGACAGCCAGGTAGCCAGCAGCTATGACCAGCACTACTTGTGCAGTTAATAAAAGGACAGGTAATGTTTGTCGCGCTGTTGCACACACAGCACGCTCGTTTGTTTCAGTTCGTCAGTTGCAACAAGACAGCTTACCAACGTGTACGTAATAAGCTAATACTCCTGTGTGCTACACACTACAGTGTGCGCTGTACACCTACTTACTGGTTTTGTCGCATCAGTCTGTGTCTCTGAGTTAACTTGTGTTTCTCCTACAGCTCCGGACCGCTAAAAAATGCGCGTGCTCTTTGTGAGCTCGTTCCCGGCTCGTAACCAGCGCGTTCTGCCGTCAAGGGCGATCATTGGTTAAATGTGATCATGTGACTGATGCAAGCCAGATCCTTTTATTTAGCAAAACTGTGATTAATAGTTAAATATTATTGTTGAGGGGCACAGACAGGACTCCGCACACACACACACATTAAAAATAATAATAATAATTTTTTTTAAAAAGTTGCCTCAACAAAAGGGCACTTTGGGCACCCATCAGGAAAGGGGCGGGTGCTCAAGCCCCTCTAGCCCCCCCCCCTCTGCACGTGCCTGCTTGCTGCACATGTTGAAGGATCTCTGGTTCTTTAGGAAACACAGCTTTCTCTTATACAGCCTGTGTGTTGGTCAACTTGTTGTCAGTGTGGACGACAAATACTTGCACATCATCATCTTGTCCCAGGATGAAAATGGGTTGTGCAGCTGTTCTCTTCCTCCTGAGGTTGGCCACCGTCTCTCTGGTCACATTCACACTGAAAGGCAGATGATTTCTCCTGAACCAAATTATCCACCAGTGTTCTGCACTTCTCCTCCTGCCCATCACTAACACATCCAACCCCTGCAGGTGGTGTCATGAACACATTGGTACAATTTCTGTGGAAATCATAAAATGGAAATTATTTTGAAATCACTGTGAGGCATAATTATTTGCCTTTTCAGTAACTCCTCTCCCTCTTGTGGATGTAGCTGATTTACACACTACACTGCCAAAAGTACTGACACATCCAAATTGTTGAATTCAGGCGTTCCAGTCACTCCCAGGAGCTCAGTGAATTCCAGTGATAGGGTTAGGGTGCAACAAATCCAGTCATGAAATTCCCAATATATTAAATATTCCACAGTCAGCTGTTAGTGGTATTATAACAAAGTGGAAGCGATTTGGAACCATAGCCACGAGTCAAACATTTCAAACACTTGACACTCAGCCATTTTAAAGCTGCCTGGTAACTAAAATGTACAGATAAGAGTAGTGGTCCCAAAATTGAACATTAGGGATTTAGAAAGATGATCAGGCCATTCATTTTATGCATTGTTCTTGAGATTTCATTTATGATCCCTCCTGTTATGTTGCGGGTCAGATCGACCCAGAACAGAAGAGATGTGATGTGAGAAAGTTGGCTTTCAAAGTTTATGTAGCAACAGCTCATGTTTCACAGTATAAAATGGTTTTCTTGGGTACTGCTCCTTTGACTTTACCACTATCTAGAAATCACTTCATAATTTTTCTAAGATAGCTGCAAGATACTTGTAACAAAACAAATTTCTTTCAAGAAAAACTGTTAATTCTGTAACTGGCTCCCAATAACATGATAGGTCTTCAATAAATTGCAAGAATAATTAAAATTGATGAATCGATCAATCCATCATCCAGTTATCCTTGTCAGGGTCTCAGGGGAAGCTGGAGCCTATCCCAGCTGTCTTAGGACGAGAGGTACTTCCTGGACAGGTCGCCAGTCTGTCGCAGGGCTAACACATAGACACAGACAACCATTCAGTCTCACCTATGGGCAATTTAGAGTTAATAATTAACCTAACCCCACTACCTGCATGTCTTTGGACTATATGGAACTGTAAGGGAGGAAGCCGGAGTAAACCTGAAGAATACCCACGCAAACACGGGGAGAACATGCAAACTCCACCCAGAAAGACCCCGACCTGATGGTGGAACTGAACTCAGGACCTTCTTGCTGTGCGGCAACAGTGCTAACCACCGTGGATGGATGGGTGGGTGGCATTTGATGTAGATGTAAATCTGGAATATTGTCCAGATTAAAAAAAAATGTGTGTTATAATACATTGTTTTAACAAAAGAAGCAATATTAACAGACAGATTTGTCACATGTGCATCCTGATCTTTCACATGGTCTGTCTGGCTGTTTTAGTCCTTGGAAGACAGAAGAAGTAGTGATGAGTCTGGAAACACTTTCTCACTCAGAACAATGTGAAAGTCATGCCATTAGGAGAGCTGGTTCTGGCCCTTCAGCTGATCCAGCTACTGTTCACTGAAACCTCTTCAGAAATGGTCTCACCTGAAGGGAAGCCATTCTTAAAGAAGGAAGGGGGACAAAAAGGTGGAGAAGTTACACAAGACGTGGACAGAAAACAGTTGGAACAGCTCATATGGTGTTTAATCAAATTAGAAATATGCACAGAGCAGGTGAGGAGAGGGGTACGACAGTGAGTGTCTACAGCTGTGCGTAAAACATAGTGAAAGGTCTGTCATGGGTTAGCGGTTAGCTTTGACTTTGATAATTGCAGTATTGTGGGATCATCTTGACAGAAAATGAAACAAAAGACATCCAACATCCAAAGAAGAGCATCAGAATGTCCCTCAAGAACCTGGAGAGCCTTTACAAAAAACTTAGCCTAAGAGAGCTCATACTGTGAAATATAAATGCTGACAAACTGTGTTTACCTGTGTATTTGCACTTGTTTCAATATATCATTGCATAGTATGTACAGTGTAATGTAGATGAAGGTGTTTATTGTTAAGGGGGAAAAATCCTAAATGCCCCCTCCTTGCCCCTCCTGTGGTGGTGGTAGTGTGATGGTTGGAGTTGTTTTGCTACCTCAGGACCTGGAAGACTTCCTGTGGTAAATGGAACCATGAATTCTGCCGTCTACCAAAACATCCTGAAGGAGAGTGTCAGCCATCTGTTCAGGACCTCAAGCTGACCTCAATGATCCAAATATTATAATAATAATAATAATAATAATAATAATAATAATAATAATAATAATAATGGATTGGATTTATATAGCGCTTTTCAAGGCACCTAAAGCGCTTTACAATGCCACTATTCATTCACTCTCACATTCACACACTATATACCAGCAAGTCCACCTCTGAATGGCTTAAAAAAACAAAACAAAATTAAGACTTTGGAGTGGCTTCCCCAGTCCTGACCTGAAATCGATTGAGATGCTGTGGCATGACCTTCAAAAGGTGGTTCATGCCTAAAAAGCCTTCAAAATGGCCGAATTACAAAAATTCTGCAAAATGAGGGTTAAAATTCCTCCACAGCGCTGTTGTCATTGACTCATTGTCAATTATTGCAAACGCTTGATTGCAGTTGTTGCTGCTGAGGGTGACCCAACCATTTAATGAAGCAGTAAGTGCGCATGCACCATCCAGCGTGCAGCCTGTTACAGTCGCTCCTGCTTTTTCTCTTAGTTTTTTTTTTGTTACAGTGCTCCATTATAAACCAACACAAACCAACATTAAGACAAGACAGACAATACGCTAACTAAGAATAGTACAATATATACATATATATATATACATACATACATACATAAGTCACTCATAAATAAATAGCTGGAAAAGAAACATGTGTAGTTGTAGCAGTAACCAGTGTGTTAAGTGGATGCGTTGTACAGGGAGCCACAGGCAGGAAAGATTTCCTGTGTCGTTCAGTGGTGCTTTTCGGTAATCTCAGTCTCTCACTGAACGTGCTCCTGTGACTGACCAGCATGTCATGGAGTGGGTGGGAGGTGTTATCCAACATTGTCTTTATCTTGGACAGCATCCGCCTCTCCGACACCACCTTGAGGGAGTCCAGCTCCATCCCCACAACA